ACTCTGTGCTCTGGCCAACCTGGCCTGTTAGCTGTTCCTCCATACACAGGAAACGCTCCTTGCTAGGGCTGTGCATTGAGTTTCCTCTTGCCTAGATGGTTCACTCACAACTCCTTTAAGACTTGCTCAAATATCATTATCCAAACGAGATGATGACTGCCCTATTTGAAATTGCAGTCTGCTACACTCTCCCCTAATCCTGATCTCTCTTTCTCATCTCAATTTCTTTTCAAAATGCCCTAATGTACTGTAGTTCTGTTCGGTACTTACTCTCCCCGCCCCCAGTAGAATATAAACTCCACGAAGGCAGGGGATTTTTCTTTGTTTTTTTCATTGATACATCCCCAGTGTCTAGAACAAGGCCTCATACATAGTGGAAAGTCAATAAAGTTTTCTAAATGAGTGAATCCAATTAGATAGCCATGAATGGTGCATTTTTAAAGAGCAGGGTGTCTTTCCAGATGGCATATAGCACCTTTGTTGTCAGAGAATGTCAAAGTTGTAGACACCGCCAAGTGAATGACATGAACGATAACTGTTGGTTGTGAGAGTTTTAAACTAAATGTTATAAGTTCTTGTCAGAGTTGTTAATTTAGCCCTGTGAGCAGAGTTCACATAACACAGTTGGGACTCATTTACTGTTTTGTTAGGTGTTGTGACAGCACTGTCTATTTCAAGGTTACCTTGTCTGTCTCTTTACCAGGGGCCATTATAAAACACAGTAAAGTCACAATTCAATAGAGGAAAAGAGGTCGGAGCAGGGAACAGAGAAGTAGTTGAGTGAGAGCAACTCAGTCATGTGGTTTCCCATTTTGGGAAATAGCAAAGTGGGGCAATTGGATTTAGGGCAGTTCTGCTCTAAGAAGCAGGGACACGGTGACTGATGGACGTTTTCAATCAGCCAATCAGATACTGGGTTCTACTGTTCACTGGGAGATCAGGATGTGTCGAAGAAAATAGAATATAACATGAGTGTGGCCAAGGTCAAAAGGCAGGGAAGTACCACGGGAGAAACCAGTGCTCAATTCCAAGTTGCTGAGAAGAGACAACCTGCACACCAAGTTCAAGGGGCACAGTGTTGACTTACAGCAAGAGGAGAGAGTGCAGGAGATCCAGGCCCTCGAAATGTGGCGGTCCCCAGTGGCCAGTGGGTCTGATCCACAGTTGACATGGGCAGTATGACTGCATGCACCCCACTTTGTGCTGCAGTGGAAGCACCCCGAGCCTGCCTTTTGGGGTCTGAAATACCAAAAGTGGGGGTGTTCATGAGGGCCATTCGCATGCAGGTGCTTAAACAGAACAGGAATGTACATCAAGCCTGGAGCAGGAAAAGCTATCCCATCGCAAGGCAATAAACTCAGCCCTGGCTGTGAGGGCTCTTTATCTCCCAGGAAGGGAATGTTCCAGGTGCAAGGGGGCTGGAGGGGTGTGGCAGACTGCACATGACGACCGTTTTCAACATCTTGGGTAGATGTTGAGTTTTAGATTTAACTTGGGAGCTTATAGCACTAGAATGAGTGGTAGCAAAGATCCTCCCAACCAAGAAATAGGGAAAGCTATTGTGGTATCTGGGGCTGTGAGTAGGAAATGGGATTAGATTTCCCATCCAGCCTCTGCTGGCAACCCTAACTGAAGCCAGAGGATGTCAGAGGGCATGTTGCTCTTCAAGAATATTGGGAGGGGCCGGCCAAGTGGCTCAGTTGGTTAAGAGCACGAGCTCTGAGCAACAGGGTCGTTGGTTCGATTCCCACATGGGCCAGTGAGCTGCGTCTGAGCGGAGCTGCTGCTGAGCTGCCAACAGGTGGCAGGATGGCTCAGCTGGTGAGAGCATGCGTTCCTAACAACAAGGTTGCCAGTTCAACTCCCATATGGGATGGTGGGCTATTCCCACCCACAACTAAGATTGAACAGGGTACCTTGAGCTGAGCTGTTCTGAGCTGCGGACGTGGCCGGATGGCTCAGTGGCCAGAGCGTGTGCTCTTAGTAACAAGGTTTCCTGTTCAACTCCTGCATGGGATGGTGAGCTACGCCTACCCGCAACTAAGATTGAACATGGCACCTTGAGCTGAGTGGCCACAAGCTGCTGATGGGTGGCTAGATGGCGACTGGACTTGGAGCTGAGCTAGCTGCGCCCTCTACAACTAAGACTGAAGGACAGCAACTTGGCTGTTCCCCTTCCCCAATTCCCCAGCACTGTTTCACTTCCCCAATTCGCCAATAAAATCTTTTAAAAAAAGAAAAAAAAAGGCAATTTCTTAAAAAAGAATATTGCGAGAGGACAACAGATTATTGACATTAGAGTGGTGGGGAAACAAGGCTCTGAACCATTAATTCAGAAATAAAGGTTGTAAATGTCCCAAGACATTAAATTGGAGGTCCTAAAAACATAAAACCTAACTTACGTTGAGGCAAAGTTTACTCATATAACAGATCTATATCTGCTCTGTATATCATCATCTTAAAAGTGTCTTGGCTAATTTATAAGAACTTTTTACCTACCGGTTGGTTGTCATGGAAACCTACATTGAAATTTACTATCTTAATCTACACTTGGCTTGAAGTATACAGAAGTGGTGGAATAAAGCCTTTTGTTAGAAAAGCATCAGGAGTCTTGGTGCTTCTCAATTGAGGACTCTAACATATTCATTTATGAAACAGGCAAATGTAAAAGTATTTGTTTTCCTCACCGAGTACTCAGGCCTGCCATGCCAGTGCTTGGTAATCATTGCTAGGCCCCACAGTTCATCCAAGGAAGAGAAGTCAGAGGCAGATGTTCTGAGGACATGGGGACATGTTTATCCACAGCTCCTGATGCTAGAATCTCCCATAGGTTCTCTTTGTGGAAGGCTGGCACTTTTAATCACTCCTGTGCATTTGTTCATTGGACACTGAGCCTGTGATGAATTCCCCAGTTCTTATTATGCAAAGAAGGACTATAAAGCCATTGCCTGAACTTCAGGGAAATTTTGGCATTGGCTGTAGCCATTACAATTGTGAGTGGATTTAGTGGAAAAATAGTGTCTGTTCTTGTCTTAGTCAGCCCGGGCTGCTATAACAAAATACCATACATAGACTGGGTGGCTTAAGCACAGAAATTTGTTTTCTCATAGTTCTGGAGGCTAGAAGTCCAAGATCGAGGTTCCGACCTGTTTGGTTTCTGGTAGAGCTGTCTTCCTTGAAGAAGTCCATTTTCTTCTTACATGGTCTTTCCTCTGAGCACACAGGATGGAGAGAGTGAGCTCTCTGGGGTCTCTTCTTAGAAGGATTAGGATAAGGATTATAATAGTATTAGTAAATTCTATTAGATCAGGGCTCCACCCTATGACCCATTAAACCTTAATTACCTCTTAAAGGCCCTATTTCAAATACACAGTGGGGGTTAGGGCTTCCACATATGAATGTTTGAGGGGACACAATTGAGTCCCTGGCAGTTCTCAAAATTTTTTTTAATACCTGTTATCCCTTTGGACTAAATACAACAGTTGTATCTTTTTTAACAAGGGCCAATTTAGTAAAATAAGCAATAAAGCAGACATATCATCTTAATGTTTTGAATGACAGGTGTCTGTAAACCAAAAGTTTGAGAATCACTGAACAATATCATCCTAAGTGGAGCGAAATTGTCATTTGCTCCTGGACTATATAGGTAAAGCTGTTTTATAATTATCTCTCTGACCACCCCCCACACCCACCCCCCATCCCCCACCAGGACTTCATCCTGGATCTTCCGAGAAGCCTGTGGTCTACTTGGGAAAAATGAAAGAAGTATGTGCAGATATTACCTTAGATTAAGCGTTAATGTGTAAATTATAAGACCTATAGTATCTTCTGTAATAGTTACGCATTTCTAATCGTTTTAAATCTTTCATTACATTTTGAGTGCAAATTAAATAACATTTAAAAATATATCTCAAGAATAAAAAAACGATACAGAGAAGACCAGTGTACATACTGCCTCGCTGGAGAAAAGGGCATTACCAGTATCTAGACCCAATCCATTCCTCTCCCTCGCCCACAGGACTGATACTTGATGTTTATCGTTGCCTTGGTCTTCTTTGCAGTGTTCAGTACATTGATTGTAATCCTAGCAGTGCTGCTTGGTTTTCCATAGTGATGCGGGGAAAGGGTAGTGGGTTGCATTTCCCTTTATTCTTAAATTGTGTTGGGGAGGGAGAGAACAGGCCCCATACTAGGGAGGCCCCAGTCTTTTTATCATTCCTTGCACTCCACATGACCGACCACTGACCCTTAAATCTGAAGCTCTCCTTCCTGAGGCCCTGTAAATGCCTCTCTGATAAGAAGGGCACTGCTTACCCTTGGGGTTCGCTCCCATTTTTACTGGGTTTTCAGCCTCTTATTGTTCCTTACTGGTTCACGAGTTCATCATTGCAGGTCAGAATATTTTATTTTTTCTATTTTAGCTACTATTTTTTAAAAATAAAGTTTATTGGGGTGACAATGGTTAGTAAATTTACATAGGTTTCAGGTGTACAATTCTAGAATACGTCATCTATATATCACATTGTGTGTTCACCACCCAGAGTCAGTTCTTCTTCTATCACCATATATTTAATCCCTTTTACCCTCATCTATTTTTAGCTCTTCCATTCTGAATGCTTTTTAGGGGACCCTGGCTATACTTCTAGAAATGGAAGACTGTATCCTAATGCCAGTTTTAAAACATTCACATCGTTTTTCTGTGCTTTCTTTTCATATGTGCAAAGCGCTATGGTCCTGGAAGAAACTCGTTTTGATTGGGTGCCAATTGCTTTATTTATTTATTTATTTATTGCCTTACATTTTTTGGACCTCTCTCTCTTGAAATGACTGCATAGTAATTTGATGAAATGTATGTAAACATCTGATTACATTACTTGACTTGTTGGAGATGATTCTTATTGAGCTGCATCTGGACAGGTGGTAATATCAATAAGAATTAAATTATAATTTTGTTTACAGTTTGCGTGTATGTTTACACATGTGTATGTATTTTCTACTAGGCTAATAATAAAGCTTCCAGCCGGAATTTCTTGAAACTGTTCAGTGGACACGTGTACAGTGGCGTGGAAACGTTGGGGAAGGAACTCTTTATGTACTTCGGGCCAAGAGCTTTACGGTAAGATAAACCTGTACAATACATCCCCTCTCGGAGCTTAAAGATGGGTAGAAAGCTTTTCCTGCAGTTTGCCGGGTGTCACATTTAATCATGTAGAAAGCACTCCATTTTTAAGAGAGCTCTAATATAAGAGGTTGAGATTCTATCATGGAAAGCAGTAAGCAGAAGAAGAATAAATTGTGATGTCATTGTTACTCGGAGGGCCAGTTAATTTATTTCTTCAGAAAAAAAGTTGATAGGCTCACAGGGCTTCTCAAAAGATATTAGAGCAACACAGCTCTGCTTTGCTCTTCTCCAAACTCTCTACACAGCTGTTCTCCCCTCTCGTTTTCATCAAATGTTTATTGCATTAGCAACATCAGTTTCTTTATATTTATGACAGCTCCTAGCGTGATTTAAATGTATCTCTAGATTTTTATATTTTTATGTCTTCTTTCTCAGAAGCCTGGAATGCAATTGGAAACTTATTTATAGAATTTGAAAACTTTCCACTGAAGTAATAGGTTCTCCATTGTTTCTCAGTGCTTATGGGAATTCACTGCTAATATGTTGTCAGAGAAGGTCACTCAATCTACTTCCTTGGTTGACTTAATGATGAAAATGTCAAAATGTATGTAATTGCCAGAACATGATCACCTGTTTAATTTTTGCAAGAAAATGAAAAAGGCCTATGGGTTAATATGTTTATCAAATCTCAGTCTTCTCAGAGTTTAGCCTAAGCTTTTGGAAGCTGTAAAGATTGGTACTGCTTCCTTGAATCGTTTTAATGGTTCTTTAACATATTGAACAGTTTTTATCCTCTTAAAAGAAAAATCCTGTGATTGGATGCCATGCTTCTTCTAACTGAAGGTAAATGATGCTCATAAAGAGATAATCTGTGACTGTGTTATGAGATAATCTGAGATGATATGATTGTTACTTATTGCATCTTATCTACTTCAAGTTCAGAGGACTTCTGAGTTTATGTCATTGCTTATCCTTGGAGGTGTTCACTCTTCATCATCAGCAGCTACTGTCCTTGGACACTATTCTCACTTCATGGCTGTAGTTGATAATATCAGCATATGAGATCAGACAATTAAGTTCGCGAACTCATCCTAGAAAAAGTTCTACATACCTCATTGCTAAATATCATTATGGTCACCTTCAAAGTACTCCCCTTGGGAAGCTATGCACTGACGCCAGTGCCTAGTCCACCCTTCAAAGCAGTTTTGGAACTCTTTCTGAAATGGCCATCAGAGCTGTCATTGTATTACCCTTAATGTCCTGAATGTCATCAAAATGTCTTCCTTTCAATATTTCCTTTATCTTCAGGTAAAGAAAGAAGTCATTGGGGGCCAGATCAGGTGAGTAGGGAGGGTGTTTCAATACGGTGATCTGTTTCCTGGCTAAAAGCTCCCTCACAGACAATACTGTAAGAATTGGTGCATTGTCATGATGCAAGAGCCATGAATTGTTGGCGAAAAGTTCAGGCCATTTTTGTCTAACTTTTTCATGCAGCCTTTTCAGCACTTCCAAATAGTAAACTTGGTCAATTGTTTGTCCAGTTGGTACAAATTCATAATGAATAATCCCTCTGATATCAAAAAACGTTAGCAACATCTTCACAACAAATTCACAAACTTAATTGTCAGATCTCATATGCCTCCTGGTTCATGCAATCGTGATCTATTGCAGGTTGCATTATTGTAGTAGATTGATGTGATTGAAAAATCTTTGCTCTGAACAGAGTAGGACACAATGGTGTCTGTATAAGAATGTTGAAAACATTGATAAATTATTGATTCTCTGCTATCAGGTGCAGATTTATTTCTGTAGGATGAGAGGCAGGTTTTCATTAAGTGTTCCCCACCAGACTGACAAAGGGGAATCATTTCTCAGTGCAGGGCTGTCAGGAAGTGAAGTTCTAAACTAGGGCAATTGCCTCTTCAAACTAAGCGAACTAGTGCCTTCCCTGGAGAGTACAAATCTCAGTATATGGCTGGGGAGAAGTGCAGTGGTTGCTTCCTTTCCATTTCCTACAGCCTTAATGATTATTTGATTATTCAACTCAATTCAAGGTTGATGGCAGATCAGCTGTTTGAATACCAGCTTAGCCACCTAAAATCAACTGTAGCCCGTTTCACAATTTAATATGTTAAAAAAAAAAATGCACGTCCAACCTCTGCTTCTTAGGAGAATGGATGACTCTGTCAAGGAAATTTGATTGTTGTGTGAGGCTGCCGGTCTGTGAGCATGAGACAGAAGTGTGATCTTCAGTTCTGACTTGTGTTTTCTACCCACCAGGCTGGCCTGCAATTTACAATAGAAAGCCTATAACAGGAAATGTGCATAATGATCGCTCACAGTTTTCCCTTAAGACGAAGCTTTTCACAATTAAAATTGCCCATGGCTTTGAGTGCATCTTACAGGGCTGGCCATAAATCTCCCTGGGGTTCATTTGTTTTGAAAGGAGAATATAGGCATAGCTCTATGTAACAGACTCTGCCACCTAAAAATCTACACTTGAGAAAGATACAAATTAGAGAGTGATTATTTCTGTTATGAAAAGATGTATCATAGTGCTAAAGCATTCATACTAGTGCCATAGAATACTACAAATTATTAATATTTGATAGACATTTATTTTAGTACCACAGTTTTGATTAATACCTATACTAATACTACTGAACATTTTATAGAAGCTCTTCATCTATAACAAAACTAAAACGACTTCTAATTTTTTGTTATATGTGTAACAAATACTCATTAGAGCAAACTGAGAAATAAAGAACAAACAAGAATAAATTTATACAACCCCACTACCAAATCTCTATGAACTGTGGGTGCATATGTTGCCCGTGCTATGTGTGATTCATCTGCAAGTCTATTCACCCAGACACACCCACCCTGCAAACTGCCATTTTCAATCAAATGAACACAGCTGTTACATCTTGGACTAACTTTTAAAAGATATATTTTTTTAGTGAATTTCTCTTTCCAAAACACTTTGCTGTTTCCAGTTTGTGATTTATATGACTCTTGATTGTTTGCAATTATCATACATACTCAGAAACTATATCTGAAATATTTTAGAGGCTTTGCCGTTTTAGAGAAGCTTTATACATTATCGAGTTTGTAATTTATTGCAGTTTCAGTGATATGATCCTCTAAACAGATATGCAAGAGATAATGTAACAATTCTTTTTAATTTGCTAAAAAGTCTTCATGGAATCCATCAGATGCTACTTACAAGAGGGTTTTACTGTTTAGACATAGTTTTTGCAATCTGTCACATAACATGTTAGACCAAAATGAAGTGTGATAAAGATTCTAAACTAAATTTCGATACTTTAGAGTAGTACATACCTACTGTTTGTCCACCCAGCATGCCCACTTGCCTTTCGGGGACAGCATTCCTTCAGGAAACTGGTTTTTCTGGCCACAATAACCACAGGGTTCAAGTTGAGTTTAACAGAATCTTACTATCTTTCTCTCTCATACACAGTCCATCGGGTCAGTCTGAGCTCTTCTGTGAGGCTTTCTGATAGGGAGCTGAGGAGGGTTGTTAGGCTCTCTGTGATGTAGGAAAGCTGGGAATGTGAGGCCTCGGAACTGGTAGATTGGCTATGTCACTTGGCTTGTCAAGAAAGACAGTGTGAGGTGCTTGAAAATAAAACAAGCCTACACACAGCAGAGACACCCAGAGAGAGGTGTTGTAATAATCCCTTATTCCATTTGTCCCTGAGATCCAGCTGCGTTCCTGCCTGTCTTTAGATTCTTCAACCCCTCTTAAGTTCCATAAGTTACTAAATATTCCTTAATGCCTAAGCCTTTTTCAGTGGGGTCTCTGTCACTTGCCACTGAAGAAAGCTGACTGTTATTAAAAGGTGCAGGCTTCCAGTTATAAGATAAATAAATCATGGGGGTGTAATGTACAGCATGGTGACTGCAGTTAATAATACCGTAGTACATATTTGAAAGTTGCTAAGAGAGTAGATCTTAGAAGTTTTCATCACAAGAAAAAAAATTTTTGGGGGTAACTGTAAGGTGATGGACATTAATTAGACTTATTGTGCTGATCATTTCACAATGTATACAAATATCAAATTATTATGTTGTACACCTGAAACTAATATAATGTTATATGTCATTTGTACCTCAACTTTAAATAAATGAATAAATAAATAAATCTGACTGTGAAAGTAATCTACAGGTAGTAAATTAAACATCTTTAGTTTTTGAAATGATAACTTGTATTTTCTATTTCAATTACCATATGCTTTCATGTGTAACTAGAGAAAATATGAAAATCTTTACCTCATTCATTAATTTCCCTGCTGCACCTGATAGCCTACAGGATCACTTGTTCTGCCGCTTTCCTTTTTTTATTTCTTTTCATAATACACATCAGTTTATTGCAATTTTTCTTTATTTTAAAAGTACTATGTAAGCCAATTGTAAAACATTAAGATAGTCCCAAAACATCTAAAGGAAAAAGTAAATATCATCCATAATTCCTATACCAAAAAAAAAGCACTCTTTATTGTTTTTGTAAATATTATAGGTAAAATATAAATTGTTTATATACCATATATTCATACATATGTTTACATTACACATACATGGATTATATGATGTTGCACATTATAATTATATAAATGAGAATTTTAATTTATATTTGGCTTTTTTGCATAATATGCATATTGTATTGGTCAATGTCAAAATATACATGTATACTGCTATTTTTAATGTGTGCAAAGTGTGCCAATATATGGATCTATCATTTTTTAAATCAACCACTACTGATTAGCATTTTTCCTTATTATTCACTCTAATAAATAACTGCAGATAACATCCTTGCATACATTTTTTTTTACCATTTTGATGTTTTCTTAGGATAAACTCCTAGATGTTGATTTGCTGGGTCTTGGTTACTGGTGCTTTTTTTATATCCATTTTGAAGGCATATAGAAATCTGTCATGAATAGAAAGCAAAGGCATCTGCAACTGTTTTCACAATAGAGAATGACCTGTGCATGGCCTGACTTGGTTCTGATCAAGTAGTATTTATTCACACCTCTATGCAAGGTTATAAAAGCCCAGAAACACATTAACATAAAATCCATGCGCAGCATATATAATATTTGTGGAAGGTTGGGGACCTTATCACAGCAGACTCACCTGGTATGGTTTTCTCAATTAATAATTGTAATTTTAATTTTTAAATCGATTTTAGATTACCTGCCTTATAGTTCCAACATCTGGGATGTCTATGGGTCTGGCTCTGTTGACTGCTTTATCTCTTGACATTTTTTTTCTTTTATAATTTTCTTATTTTTGTGTGTGTCGTAATTTTTTTTGAATTCCATATATCACATTTACAAGAATAGAGACCAAGGTAAATAATATTTAAGCCTCGAAATAGTAATGCCTCTCCTATAAGGTCATTAGTGTGGGCAGTTGAGTGAGTCTAGTAAGTAGTTGAGTTTGGTTTGGGATTTATTGTGTTGTAGTTGCGTTTGATGCAGCAGTGGCATCAAAACCTCTAGCTGCTACTGCTTCTTTATGGCTCAAGTGTGACCTGGTGTGGCCGGGGGTTGTTTCTTTGTGTTTCTGCCCCAGTCAGCTTTCATCAGACCTGCACATTTGTGTCATAAGGGAGTCTTTCCAGTGAGAGGTTCACGATGGGGAAAACAGGTTCCTGACTCTTCTAAAGCAGCCTGATTCTCAGGCAGGCCCTGTGCATGTGGATCTCAGGTGACAGTTTTCTCAGGGCCACTGCCCCTTTTCACCTCTATGCAGCCAAACTCTTCCTTCTAAGTGTGTGTGTGTGTTGGGGGGATGCGGGGGGAGGGTCTCAGGTCAGAGAGTTTCCTTCCTGTCTCCCAGTGGGAGCAGATGTCCCCTTGCATCGTTGGAGGACTCTGCGCCAAAGCCGAATCCTTGCCTCATCCCTGGGGACAGATGGCTTTTGCTTCTGCTCATCCTCAGCAGCAGTGCACTTAGCTTGGACCTGGTGGCAAAGGGTTTCCTGCCCTCCCCAGTGGCAGGCTGCTCATTCTTGTTACTTGGTGCAAGGCCTGCTGTATGGGCAGGAGGTTTCCTGTTACTCCTTCAGAGATAGATGGCTTTTTGTTTGTGCCTCTCCCTCATCTACAGCAGCTTAAGACTTTTTAAGACTTTTGCTTCACATGAGAGAAGTACTTGAGAAGCAGACAGAGTTTCATGCTGACAGGTGCCATGCCACCAAGGGTGGCTCTTTCAGGTCCCCTGCTATACTCACATCTTTCTGGAGTGTAACTAAGTGTGGGCACCCAGGGAAAAGAGCTTATAGTGAGTGCATAGTCTCCATGTGTCTGGGGTGCCAGAAATTCTAAACTGTCATACCAGCCACACTCAGTACTCAAAAGTTTGTTGAACGTTTTAGCTGTTTTCTTCTTACCCATTTTTATGGTAGCGGTCTCTTCCTCCTGTACTCTGCCACACGTGTGACAATGTGTATGTCTGTCTTTCCACTGGAGTTTAGCTCACCTGGCTGTTTGCAACCTCATGTCTCTGATGTGCTCAAGAAAATTTGTGATTTTATAAGCAGTGTGAATTCTTGTTGGGGTGGGAGTTATATTCACTTTTAGCTTTTATATCCTAAGTAGAAGGAGAACTCCCTTTTTGCTTTTTAACTTAGCACCATATCTTTTTATAAGCGGTTTCTTCGAATTCCTAGCGTAAGTTTTACAATCATTATATTCGACTCTTTTACATTCTTTATTATCCCTAGGACACTTTTGACCGCTTGATAATTTTTATAAGCAGTCGCCTTATGTATAGTTGTCATTAACATGAACCTGTGACAATACTGTCGTTTATGCTATTTGTGCCTGCTTAAGGATGTTCAGGTTATTCTGATAGTAGTAGCCTGGAAGACTGTGACTGATGGTTCCAGTAGTATCAGCTCTTATCTATTGATTTGGTTTAGGAAGTTATTTCTAACGAGAGGGAATTTCTTAATATCAGTTCAATTTTTAATTTGGACATAATTTTTATATTAGAACTTTGGTTGCAAGTGACAGAAGCCCAACTCACTCAAAGAAATTCAATAATTATTTATTATAAGAATGTGGGGTGTCTTATGATCGCTGAAAATGATGTGGTCGGGTTTCAGGGAGAAATGGAATAAAGACTAAATGCTATGAGGACTCTGCATTTCTTGACTGTGTTCCTCACTGAAATCTGCCATGGCCTTCCTCTGGTCGGCCTCTCATGGCTTCTCCGGTGTCCGAGTCGGGAAACATTTCCATAGACAGCTCCCATGTTAGATCTCCCCAAACTAACAACAAACAGATTTCTCTGTGTCTGAAATCCATAAATTCATCAGGAGAACTCTAATGAATCCAGCTTGGATAGTGATGGGTCCTGGGTGACTCAGGTGTCTGTTCCCGAATCCGAGTGTTCCTGTGTCCGAGGAAGGGACAGAGGCCACTCCAGGCTGGGCTTAATGCCCACCATTGGCAGGCAGAGTCGTATATGCAGAGTGAATGATCTCAATAACCAATTGGGTTGGGGGGGTGGGATGCAGGGAGCTTGAGAGGATCAAGAGATAGAAATAAGGATCTAATAAAAATTTTCATAAGCTAAGTTATTACGATGAGGAATCTTGAAAAGCAAATCTAACTCTTGAAAGTAAATGTAATATGAGCCTATAAAAGAGCAGCATGGCAATTGTTACAATAGTACAGGTGTTTAGTGTGCCTTAAAAATGTTCGTGATATTGACGGATTTTTCTGAGTTTACACTAAAGGATGCTTAACAATAAACACAGAAAATTTGTTGGTTCAGTGGGGCTTGGTTATCATAATATTTAGTTATTTAATAAAAATAAAGTAGAAAAGTAGTTATTTTGTGCACATTTTCCCTTAAATTGGATAGATGTATTTATAAGACCAAAAAAGGCATACTTATTTGATTCCTGGTTATTATTGGGGCTACTCCTGCATTTGAATTGGGTCTTAACCTTTGAGATTTTTTATGTGGATGCAGTTTCATTATAGAAAGTGATTTAGAATCCACTTTATGAGCCATGCAGCTGAAAAGATTTTAGATATGATGGCTTCTGGGCATGACAGTTGTACACCTTTCACTGAGGTTGAACGTCCATAAACTAAATTATGGAGTACTTACAGGCACACATTTTTCCTGTCAAGAACTATGGGCATGTAAAATGCACTTATGATTGATAGTAGGGCACACAGAGTTTAAAACCCACATTTTTAAAGTTAGACTGGTTAACCTTGTACAATACTATAACATAGTGCTTTGGAATTAGAAGCACAGAGAAGTAACATTTGCTGCCAAAAGAGCCATATTTATTAACTCAACGAAGCTATAAGGAGAAGGATTTGAAAGGCAGAACACAGTATTTCATCTTGAGACTCATTTTTGATCTTCATCATCAGAGGTCTCACAGAACCACTTTCTTTCCTATTTTTTTTTCCACTGAACATACTAATCAATCCTGTAAAAACTGAAAGGTTATGAATTTTTCATCACTGCATTGTGGCTTTCAAGTTAACCGTAAATATTTATAAATCCTCTCTTTCCAATATACATATAAAGGTAGAAGAAAACTAAAAGTATTGAAGACAATATCATTTTGACTTGTCTTTTTTTTTTTTTTTTGTTGCGTAAGATATTTTTTTGATGCGCAAGACATCGTTTNTTTTTTGATGCGTAAGATATTTTTTTGATGCGCAAGACATCGTTTCACTGCGTATACCAAAGCAAGGGGGGAATAAAAGAGTTTCAAACTGTAGATATCATTTTGGAATGGGTAAACATTTCCAAGCTATTGTGGCTAGAAATGAGGACTTTGAATGTTAGTGACTTTGTAGAACTTATAAAAACATAAACTACGGGCAGTTTAAATTTAGCCTCATTACACCCCAAGCCTTTGAATCTGAGAAAAAGCTGAGAGACACTAGACTGTTCTGTGAATAAAAGATATTTCATCTGACAAGAAAAGAAGAACAGGGGTATGTTTTCTTGGGCTTATTTTTGGGGCCTTATTTTTTCTCTAAGAACTTATTTTATTTGTGGGTTGAAAAACTGATTGTCATAGTTTCTAGTTTTATAAAGACACAAAGCCATAATAAGACAAATATATAATATTAGCTACCATGGTTTTCCCTTTAAAAGTACCTACCCTGACTAATCCAAAAAGTGAAGTGAAGGAAAAAAATTTGATACATGATATACTACTTTCTGCTATTCAAAAACGGGTTTGATTTTGTTTTTAGGATTCATTTTGGAATGAAAGGTTCCATCATGATTAATCCACCTGAGCATAAAAATAAAAATGGAGTTTCTCCTGTGTTGGAAGTGCAGCTCACCAAAGATTTGATTTGTTTCTTTGACTCATCAGTAGAACTCAGGTAAAAAAATAAAATTAAATAAGGTAAGCTGAAATAAAATAAAGTAAAATAAAAAACTCCTTCAGCTATAAAACTCTGATAGTTAAATCTGCATTTGGTTTGGGATGTCACATGGGAATAAATAAATGAAAATTTAAAAAAATGGTTTATAATCGATAAAACCTATTTTAAAAGAGCCTTCAAGTAATATGGTTTGTTAGGGTTCTCCTTGTTTGGCTCCATGACTCTTATTCCCCGATTAGCATGAAGTGTTTATAGTTTCTATCAAAACTCATTTTAAATGACACTTTCTGAAGTTGTAACCAGACCTACGATGAATGTATTTTCTATTCCTTTCTGTAGAAACTCAACAGAAAGCCAACAGAGAATAAGAATGATGGAAGAATTAGATGTATGTTCACCTAAATTTAGTTTCTCACGGGCGGAAAGGGAAGTGAAAAGGCAGACAGGACGGATGCTCTGTGATGTGTTAATGGATCAGAGAGTGCTGCCTGGCGTTGGCAACATCATAAAAAACGAAGCTCTTTTTGACAGTGGTCTCCATCCAGCTGTTAAAGTAAGTTATGAGTATTTTTCAAATGATGATTGTGTTTTTGAATACTGTTAAGGGACCAACATGGAGCACTTAAATCTGTACTGTAGTAACACAGTCCCCCCAGCAGACCTCAGGGGTCTTTGTTCATGCCAGCTTCTCATGGAGGCCAACCCAGACCATGCTTTTTAAAATTGCTGTGTGCAGCCCCCCCCCCCCATACTCCCAGTCTTGCATAACTTGCTTTGCTATTTATTTTCTCCATACCACTGGTCACTTTCAAACATCATCTAATCTTGATGTGTTATATTTATTGTATTAAACCTGTCTCCTCTGCTAGAATGCAATCTCTTAAGAGGAAGGTGTCAGTGTTGTTCATGGAATATTTAAACAGCTAGAATAACAGTGTCTGGCACATGGCAGCATTAAAGAAATATTTGTTGAATGTAGGAATGAGCTAAGCTCACAACTTTCTTTTTGTATCTGGCACATTAAATTCACACTCAACACACTCATATGATTCCTCTTTATAGCTATTCAGGACATTAGGAAATACAGTTTCACTCGAATGATAAGAATGGAGGTCAGGTAGCAGGGACTAAGGAATAAGTGGTTAATGAGGAACTGGAAACAAAATGTGGGTAGTTGTAGGAGTAGCTTATTTTGGAGTGAACAGAAAATACTAGACTTATAGAGGAAGAAGTCAGGACAAGGACTGGGTTTTGTTGTTGTTTTTTTGTTCTTCAACTGAAGAGACGTGAACTTAAACGTATGTTGACCAAAAAACAAACAAACAAACAAACAAACTAGTAGAGAGGAGGGAGAGGTTAAAATTGTAGAAAAGAGAGTGGTGATTAACAGGACAAAGTTGTGAGAAGGTCAAAGAAATTAGAACTTAAACCAGGTAGATGGATACATACATATATGCGTATTTTATTTTCCAGGGAAGAAATCTACATTAGGGCTTTTATCTAGACCCAAATAGTCTCTATTAACTAAGTCATTTTTACATGAACTCAAAGATACCTTTTTTATTTTGTGTAATTATTTCCTAGATAGTGTTTGTAAAATCCAAACCAGTGGGAAATAAGTTTTAAAAGGAATAGTTAATGATAGTTCTACATCAGATTCTGTTTTTTTGACACATGGAACAAGTTAATAAAATTTCTATAATATGAGAATAATGAAACAGACTTTTAACAATAAGCTTTTTAAAATCACCTAGACATCTATGGAAAATGTTTTGGAAAAAGAAAAAGAATCCAGAGTATTGTTCCCTAGAGTGTCATTATTATCTATGATAAACTGATAATTTACTTTTTATCTGTACATTCAGCTATCCATTTTTCTAGTAAAAGACCCTTTGCCCTGAATGTCTCAGGGTTTAAAAACCTAATGACATTTCTGAAGCTTAGCTACTAGCCACCTAAAGCACATGTACAATCATTGAAAAAGTAGTTTAACATTTCAAGGGGTGACTGAATATAGTATGTAAGATATGGTAAGAAATAAATGAGTTTTAGGAGTACATAAGTTGTAAACTTTAAATAATTGAAAAATATCTAATAATACTTTTAGAATGATTCTGTTGATTAGATCGCTTTAGACTTTATAGTCATTGATAAATTAGTTTCCACTGTATATATATAAATATATATATATATACCACAAGGGTAAGTCATTAGACAGAATCTCTTCTGAAATTATTATTGAAACCACATGTGCCAAATGATCATTAATTCTGCAAGGATAATGCTTAGATTTATGCCACGCGGTGTCACACAAAAAACTTCTTCAGTAAGATCTGTTTAAGAGTTCTTCCATGTGCTAACAAGTACTTTAATATTAATGCATGTATTTCATATCTTTTTAAAGCTTGATAGTGATCTTGATTGTCATCTACTTCTGTGCCTATCATTCCCTCCTTTTCTTCTCTTTTTTTGTTTTTTTTTTTTGCAAACCCAGCAAGACTTTTGAAGGTGGCTGACAGTCAGTGCTGGGACTTTGAAGATACCTGATACAGAAGAGATATTTAATAAATATTTGAATTCAGAATTAAAATTTATAAATAGAAGTTTTTATCTGTAGTACTATCACTTAAAAATAACACTACTATTAATGACACTAAGTAGATCTATGATAGAGTCCTAGAAGATATGTATATATTTTAAATCTATTTACAGTTCTGTTAGAACTGGCAAGTGGTATTCTTTTTCTACAGTGATGAACAGATAATAAAACTATCCTCAGTCATTTTTCTATTTTAAGGTTTGTCAGTTAACAGATGAACAGACCCATCACCTTGTGAAAATGATACGTGATTTCAGCATTCTTTTTTACAGGGTAAGCAAAAATTTTTCAATTATGTAAAATGTCAATTCTTTCTCTTTTGATTATACCGAAAATGTTAAAGCTGTTTATAGCCATCTAGTGGTAAGTGTATAGAGGTACAGTAAGGGAGAATGATACGTTATGGGCCTAATTAAAATCTTAAAGTTTTAGGTCATAAGTCAGTCCAAACTTGTCTAACTATAATTGTATTAAATTATCTTTATAATCAGTTGAGGAACAACTATATTAGCATTTGACTTAGACTCTTGTTCCATTTTTGGATATATAAAAGTGAAATCTAGGAAGCATCCAGCGATAGACTCAATTCTTTAATTGACAAAGACTGTTTTGAGAATGAAATAAGTACTTGCTAAACTAAATTTTGAAAGTTATATATATTCATGTATAGAATTCAATAAACACATTTTATCTTTTAAACAAAGTATCACAAATATTTTTTTCTCTACAGTCCATTTTCTGTATTCAAATTTTTTATGTTTACTATGTTCAGAAAGGCAGGTATTGTAGGATTCCTTATGATTTGGCCTAAAGTGTTGATGAACCTCTTGTTTTACATATCTCCCTTGAGTTACTATGGTTATTTTAATATTATATATGCCCATTTATTCTTCCAGGCAAATGTGATTATAGACAATTACCCATTTTCTGTCCAGATTAAGTTATGTATTACAATACTTTGCTTAAAGTAATGTAAGCTGTTTGTGTAATTTTCAGCTTATATATGGTGAGCCATATTTAAAATTTGCACACTGCTGGTATAAGCTTAAAATATTCACTTTCTAGGATCTTTAAATATATGTGAGCAGAATAAAGCATGACAGAGAATATCACATGTCTTTTAAATAGAACTTCCACCAAAATGAAACATGTTCTTTGCTTGGATGGCATTTGAATTTTTATTTTTTCTTTTAGTGAATTTGTAAGATTAAAAACTAAAAGCTCTCTTTTGTCAGGTCAACAAAGAAGATGATCGTGTGAAATTTTCTTCTTAGACATAAATTTTTTGGCTGTCAAAACAAAGTGAACAGCTTCAGTGTTCTGAAAACAATCAGATTTAAAGCTAATCTAGTCTTTTTTTTTAACTATATAATTATGTTTAATTTAAAGAAACTTAACAAGCATGAACAATATTTTAAATTATGGAACTCTTATATCCCATTTAGATAAGAGGGTAAAGCGATACAAAGAGCAGTTTTGAGTATCAACATATTATAAAATAATGGCTTATTTCACACACACCTTATTTGACAGATATTGCTGAATCTTGTCAATTACTTTATCAGATGAAAGAAAAGGTTATATGGACATGTCCAAACATATACAATTGTTTTTACATTTTTATTAAATTTATTGGGGTGACATTGGTTAGAAAATCATACAGGTTTCAAGTGTACATTTTTATAATACATCACCTATATATTACATTGTGTGTTTACCACCCAGAGTACATATAAAAAAAAATTACTTTCAGAAATGACTTTCAAGAATTTTCTTTGTCTCCTTAGCCACACTGTTTTGTAGATAACATTATGATGTTGCTTGTTTGTTTTTAGTGCCATAAAGCAGGATCTACTATCTCTAAACACTATAAGGTTTACAAGCGTCCGAATTGTTGTCAGTGCTGCTGCAAAATAACTGTGTGTCGCTTAGGGGAGAATAACAGAATGACATACTTCTGTCCTCACTGTCAAAAAGAAAATCCTCAGCATGTTGACATAAGGTGAGATATCTAATTTTAAGGTATACTGTTTGCCCCAATTCTCTTAAATAAAAGGCTATTAATAAGCAAACATAACCGAATAACTATCAGGCTATTAATAAAAAGACATAACTAAAAAGTATTTGAACCCTTGGAAGGAAATAGTAAAGGATATCATCAAAGAAGCAGAGTGAACCAAAGATGATTTTGGACCTCTTTTGAATTCAGTAGAAAATCTTTAGCTCAGATGTTAATATCCAGCCTTAGGCTTTAATCTCATATGTAAAGTGATTAAAAGAAGATGTAGATATGTCAAATAATTGGAAAAATGCAACTATCTTCAAAAATTTTATTTATTGGTGAAACAACCAAATACTTTTTAAATACATATTGAAGATTCTGCCAGTAGCTGAGTATGTCTATTCCAATTATGCTTTCCAGAACTGGGGAAATAACCACAGGCTAGGTTTAGGGACTCGCTGGACCCACTGTGAGATGAACTTTAGCTAAAACTCCATTGATCGCTCAACCTTCATAAGCTCCTCCTCTGACTGGTGGACAACTGTGATGTTTTGGGTCTCCTGGAATTAGTGTCAGTTCAGAACCAGTTTATAGTAGTCTCTGAAAGATTTAATTCTTTCTTTTTCCCCAGGGCCCAGTTACCCTTGTTAAAGACCATAGGTTGCCTTAGGGAGGGCTGGGAGAAGCATTAACAATGCAAAGTAGCAGCTTGGTAGTATATGTGATTATAAGCCAAAATAACCAGTACAGACATGAAGCACATTAAATGCTATTAGAGTTCAAGGCTATTAGAGGTTTATATATATATATACAAAAGGTTGGGAAGATCTCATACAAAAAAATGTAATTTGAAGCTTACTTTAAAAGGATAGTTAGAATTTTGGTTAGACAGATGACAGAACAAACATTATTTAATTAGTAAGAAGGAGCACGGCCACAAACCTTGAATCATGACTAAGCATGGCATGTTGGAGGCATGATGAGAACATTGGGGAGACTCAGGGGTCGGCAAACTGCAGCTCACAAACCACATGCGGCTCTTTGGGTACGTTGTCTCAAAAGTTTGCCAACCCCTGGAAGAGCCAATCCTGTCCCTCACAACAATTGAAAAACAATTTAAAAAGCTTTGCGAGACCTATAAAACAAATGAAATTACCATTATGTGAATAATATCCTTTAAAAATTTTATAAATGAAACTATGATAGTTTTATTTTCATTTTCAATTTTACTTCAGAGGCACATGTGCGTACCCAAAGTACCCCATGTGGCTCGCGAGCCGCAGTTTGCCGACCCCTGGCGGCTCTCCCGTCTCAAAAGTTTACCGACCCCTGGTCTAGCTAAATGAAGACTTAAGCTGTTCAATAGTAAAAGCTAATTTTACAAGTAGGATGGAATCAAATAATAGGAATCATTAGCAGTGCTGGGAATGGTTAATGCCTGACCTACATCAGTGAACTAAGGAGTTTTAATTGATTATAGCATAGTTAAGATAGAAAATGAAGAGATTTAATCCCATGTGAAGCAGCTAGTGCAGTGTAGTGGGTGAGAGATGGTTACCGGGCCTGAGGTCAAAACACTGGAAATGGAGAAGAAAATAGGTACTTTAAAAAGTGGAAAAGTCAACAAGAATTGTGACAGATTCAATATCTAAGATAATGGAAAAAATTTCAGACCCAAATAATAATAGAAATTTTCACTTTATGGGTCTGGGAAAGTCGGGATAGAGTGGAAAAGACAGACTGAGTTTTGGAGATGTGAAGTAACAGTGCATATCTGGAAGAGATGTCTTGTGGGCCACAGTACAGGGTGGGAGATAACGGCTTGAGGGTAATCAGCATGGTTTTGTTAGCTAAAGTATTAAAATGGGCTCAGTTCCCTGAGAAAGTAGAGAAAATAACCAAGGTTTGAACTTCAGAGAATATCCATTTCTAAAGAGTAAGAGGAAAAGAGTAAGCAAAGGAAACTAAATAATATAGTTGGAAATCGGGGGGCAAGCAGGACAATACTTCGCCTTATGGAAGCCTGGGAGAAGGGAGGCGCCATCTTACCTCTGGTGGGCTCATGGTCGTGGGGTGGAGATGATGTGCGATGGAGATCCTCAGTTACATCTTCAGAAAGATAGCAGCAGTTGCCTTTTTGTTCTCCATGTCCCTGTGTTTCATTTTCTTTATCACTCCTTTTCTTGTTCTTAACTACTTCTCTCTAAACCACTTCACACCCCCTTCCTCTCAACTTCTTTACCCCATTGTATTATCACAAAGATCTGAAATATGTCTAGTTATTTGTACAGATTCATGGTTTTCTCATTTTTAATATTATAGGTGTACATTTCTTTAACCAAATGTGTATAACACAGTATCTAGCAGGTAGAAGACATTCAGTATATATTTGCCTACTGAATACATTATTTTCTCTATTTTCTATGAATTGATAGCTTTTGAGAATCCTTATTCTTCCACATCATCAAATAAATGCTATTTATCATATAAATACAGTAATTGTCAATTCCAAGTTGCTTTTAAAAATTCGGTTTTAAAGCCTCCGGGGTTCCTTGAAAGGAGACCTAGAGGTCCCCTAGGAGCAGGGGAGGAAGGCGTGCTGCGTTGGAAGTGCGCTGGGCCCTTTACTTCCTCTTCCCTTCTGACCTCGTTTTGTCGGATATATTGGCCTTCATCTTAATACTCTGGGAAAACACTTATACACTACAAAATAATTGTATCCATAATAAAACATTTGAAAACCAGTAACTTTTGCCCTATTTGAGATTTCTGTGCTTAAGTCTATTTTGTTTGTTTTCTGGATGAAGCACTTTTTATGTTGATTAATTTTTCTCATTTTAATTTAAAGTCATTTCAAATTCAGTTGAAGAACTATGAAAAGCCCAACAGAAATAATCAAAATCCTTGCGTCCCTTCAGTCACTAAAAGTTTACTTAACTCCTTGAAGTCCTCCCCAAATTTTCCACTTTTTATGATGACACCACACTTTGGATACCTATACCATTTTATTGGTGGCTCTTCTTTATATGCTAGCATAATTTACGTACGTGAGTTCAGTTTCCTTGAGGGGAAACTGTTTGCATCATTCTTTTTCTTTACTGTTGGGTTGTTGAGAAAGTCATGATGTATTTTTCTATGTTTTTCAATGCAAAAATGCGTCATGACTTTCCCGATGACCCAATAGAATCGTAATTTCATGAAAAATTTTTAAAAATTTATTTGTATTTACTTTATTAGGATCTACCATATGCCAGGCGCTGGGAATACAGAGACAAACTAAAATACAGCCACTCAAAGTGCTCAAAGCCTCACGTGGGGAGTAAATGAAAAATGGTTCATTAAAACCCCATGATGGAAGTGCCTGCTCTAAAGGGGCATGTTTGTGCTAATGGCAGTGGAAGTATAGAGGAGGAAACACTTTAGTCTGCCTGGGGAAGAACAAAGACATTTTTCTGAAGGAGGTGACATTTGAGCTTAGTGTGGAAGGAAATAGGAATTCATCAAAAATTACAAGCAGGAAAGGGATTTCCTGGAAGAGAAAAGAGTAGCTAACAAAGTATGTAGGGAGGAGAGGATGTTACGTTCCTATAAGAAGACATATTCAGGTCTCTAAAAACCATCTGATTTGGAAATCTGTTGGTTAATGAGAATTAAGTAATGTTTGCAAACCAAGTCTTGGGGCACGTCTGACCTGGCAGAGATTTTTGAGTGGACGGAGCAGCCACAGGGTACTTGGGAGATGTGATGAGTATCTGTGATGGGTTCATCTTGATAGGACAGCCTTGTTTGGGGAAGAGAATTTGACAACCTAGTCTTTATGTTTAAAAACATAATTTAAAAAGAATTTTTTTGACTGCAATGAAAGAAACCAATCTCATATTATCTTAAACTAAAATGGGTATTTATGGGTCATGTAGCCAAAGTGAATAATTGGGGTCATTCACAGAATTCATGGAAAAGCTATAAAAACCACAGAGTCTTGGGACTGGGACCCATGAAGGGGTCCTTCCCAGGGTTCTCCATAGAATGAGCAAGTGGGAAGAATAAAAACAGGTCTAAGTTCCTCATCTCAAGCCTCGTGGTAGCAAATGAGAAGAAACATGTCTGGATGAGTACTGGCGCTCCGTGAGTGAGGGGCAGACTAGACCAGAATAGCAGTTGATTCAGTTGAAATATAATTGGAAAGCAGCTTAGAAGTTCTTTTTATTTCCCACCTTCATTAAATGCTACTTTATTTTGCATAACTTTCTTTTAGTTTGATTAACATTTACATGGGTGTTTTTTAAAAAAAAATAAGTTTAGACCAAAAAAAAAAAAATCAGTTGCTTTCCATACAGTAACTAGTCTCCACTAAGGGCAGGGATTCCTTGAAGACACTGTCATCTCCCATCTGTTTTTTTATTTTGTTTCCTTTTTTTTTCTTCTTTTTTAATGGTAGCACTCTGGTTTATTAAGCTCTGCCTTAGTACAGGTGCTGGGGCTTCCCCATGGTGCTCTTGACATATAAAGCCCAGACATTCTGCCAGTGGTTTTTGAGCAATGACACCAGGAAATTGACAGCGAAGTGGATGTTGTACACAAACTCATCTGTGCCCACTGGCAGACACAGCACCTTCATCTGGAACTTGACCATGGATTTCACTTCGTTGACTTTGGCCACCATGTTTCATTGTGGGTCAGCAAGGAAGGGAACTTGCCAGTCTTATTCAGGCCTGGGCCCAGGATTCATGGGACCTGCTTGGTCAGAGACCCTGAAGCCAAAAAGGCATCATACATCTTGGCCAGCTTTTTGACCAGTTTCTGATTCTTGCTGAGTTTCTTCAGCGCCTCAGTGCCCACGTGGGGGATATCCACAGGCCTTGGCCTCGTCACAGCGCAGCTGGTCCCCCAGAACACATACAGAGAACTTGGGGCGGGGAGAGGATTTAAGCCTGACGGTGCCTGAGAAGTGCTTGTCCTTCTGAGGGTCACAATTCTTCAAGCTGATCTGCAGCTCCACC